CCACACACCGCCACCTACTTCTTGGGCTCTCACACTCCAGGCCACCGTCCACCTGCCCTAATCACCCCAGGAGTAGGAACTAGAGGACTCGGGATAGTTGGTATGCCCCAGAGCATGCTGCAGTGATTCAAACTATTCAGTCCTAAGCCCGATCACCCTCCCTCACTCGTTCCTTCCCACAGAAACCACAATCAAAGTTTGTGCCCCTGTTTTCACTCTGCTCCCTCTCTGCCTCCTGACTGACCTTGGCATTTCCCCATGTGGCCCCATGGTGTGACACACCCCTTCCTCTTGAGATCTGTGAGCATAACAATCTTTTTATTTGTAGTCACTCCTGATCCGATGGCCTTGCCACACCTAGATAATAACAAAACCTATATTTTATTTTATTTTTTTGTCTTGTTTTTAATAACTAATTGATTGTATATTGTATAACATAATGGGAATGTACTTTTTTCTTTTTTATTTTTTATTTTTATTTTTTAATTATACTTTAAGTTCTGGGGTACATGGGCAGAGCGTGCAGGTTTTTACATAGGTATACACATGCCATGGTGGTTTGCTGCATCCATTCCCCCATCATCTACATTACATATTTCTCCTAATGTTATCCCTCCCCAATCCCCCTACCCCCTGCTATTCCTCCCCTGCCCCCTGACCCCCTGACAGGCCCCAGCGTGTGATGTTCCCCTCCCTGTGTCCATGTGTTCTCATTGTTCAACACCGACTTATGAGTGAGAACATGCAGTAAAACATATATTTTAAAACAGAGGACACTCAAGTACCATGTGGTAAAGCCCATATGGAGAGGAACTGAGGCCTCCCACCACAGTCAGCCCCCACTGGCCAGCCAATCGAGTGAGCCTCCTTGGAATCAGATCCACAAGCCCCAGCTGAACCTTCAGATTATGGCAGCCCCAGCCCACACCCATCTGCAATCTCATGAGAGGAGAGAATCTAAGCCAGGCTGCCCATTCGAGCTGATGCAAAATTTGCAACCTACAGAAACTGAGAGACAATACATGCTTATTGTTATTTTAAGCCACTAAATTTTGAAGTAATTTGTTCCTCAGTACTGGATTCTAAGTAGAGGAACTGATTCCTCCACTAACCCCATTTGGGGCTTTCCTGTGGCCTCTCCAGTGTGCCAGCCTGAGAAATAGCAAGATACTTTGGGCTTCTGACTCAAACGGTAAGAAAAAATTGTAATTTCACAAAACAAGGATTCAACAGGTAGAGAGCATCCAGGGTTGATTAACAAAGCAGCCCAGTAATCTCACTCAGGCCCCAGGTGATTCTCTTCATTTCTCGGCTCAGCCAGGCTCACTCAGCCTGTCAGCTGATCGTTCTCTTTTTCGAAAGATGGCAGCATCATTCCAAGCATCTCATACCGACAGGGCAGTGTGAGTTTTCCCAGAAGCCTCTTAACTGACTTACTCCCCACTAGCCAGAATTGCAGTATATGGCCATACCTAAGACAAACACTGGTAAGTAGACTGGCAGAAAGAATGCAGTGATTGGCTTAGACTGATTACCCATGGGAGCACAGTGATTGGCTTAGACCAATTACCAGTGGAGCTGAGCGATTGGTTTTCCTTTGGGGCTGAAGCTTGGAAGTTCTTCACTTTATCACGTAGGGCTGGGGACACCCTTCAGCAAAATCCAGGTTCTGGCAACAAGGAAAATCTATGCACAAGGGTTGGGGTAATGAATGATTTAGGTAATTTATCTTCTATATAAGCCATCAAAGGGCCAGCTGTACTAGCAAGAAGGGCAATAGAGGCCCAGAGAAGGTGTCCGGAAAGCAGAAGAAAGAGTCGGGGAAGGTAGGTAAGGGACAGTTGGAGGGCCTTGGGTTTTACACATAACGAATAACCTGAATGAGTCACCCGTTAAACCACTGTTCCCTCACTCCATTCTCCCTCCTGAGGATGGATTATGCACCTGCTCGCACATCTGACGGTTGCTTCATATCACCACTTTGGGTCAGGGTGACATGACCCAGCTGCCTCCAGAAGCCTCCCAGCCAATGGACCCAGAGCGGGCTGTGGGCAAATCAGTCAGCTGGTGGCTGCTGATTGGAATTCATCCACATTCTCAAGGTGGAGGACAGCGGGAGATGTATGCAGCCTCCTCCCCTATGGAGGGGGTGCTATTTGTTTAAATGGTGGTTGGTGATGCCAAAAACACTTGGCCTCCTTTATCTGGATATAGAATAATCCAGCACAAATAGATCAGTAGTAATAATACAGCAGCAACAGTAGCCCAACTCTTTTATTTTGTAGACGTAGGAAATCAAGTTCATGTTGAAGTGACTCGGCCAGGGTCACAAAGTCCAAACTGGAGCTAAGACTGAGTCTTAAGTCTCCTTGCTTTGATTCTCTTTCTCCTTATACTTGTAGGAAGAGCTTCTATGCTAAATGTATGCCACATCTATAACATCATTCTTCTGCAACACAGAACTGCTTTAGGTAAGTGTTCTAACAGTTCCTCATGTTCATTTTACATGTACACATTATGTTTAATATGGAGACTTTTGTTTTTAATGTTGTATAATTAGACTTGCAATTCCACCCTTAAAACTTTTTATCTGTGGTTTATCAAAACAGGCCAAGATTCCAGCTAATAATATTTTCAACCAATTTTGTCATTCTCCAATAAATTACATAGAAAATTGTCAAAAGTGATTCCTTTCCAGTGACAGCAGAAATCAGGGACTCCAAGTCTCCCGTTCGAGTTCACTAGACTCATTACTTAAAAGGGAATAGAATAAGCCCCCTGAGATGATCTTTCTGAAGTAACTCGTTTCTGTCTGTCAGCTGACTTCCAGAACTGATTGTGTAATTGACACAGATCCACATGACTCGGTGCAGTGGGAATAGTCCAGCAGTTTTGAATTCTTAGATGATTTTCGTGGTTTTTTTTTTCCCTTGGTTTGTTCGAAGAGATCAAAAGGAAGCTCTATCGCTGTGTGATAAGTGTTTCTCTGTCACCGTTTTTCATAGCTTTCCCTTCCAAGATCCATTATAACTTTGGAAATGTAGTGAAATGTGTCTTATCGAACTCTATTAAAGACTAAATCTGGTAAGGGTTAGTCCAGGGGTGTGTGTGTATGCACACACGAGCATGCGTGCCTGCATGTATGCTAGGAGTGGGTAGAGTGGAGAAAGGAGATAAATTTAGGGGTTGCAATTGTAGCACTTGGGACAAAACAAGGATGTTTCCCACACATCTACAGTAAACATGATCTTCATTATTTGTAGTTAGTCACATTATTGTTATACCCAGAAAAATCATTTTAAAAGCTTTTGAAGGTTAAATGATTCACAGCAGATAATCAGAATCCAAGTTGGCAGTCTGTTCAGTAACCATCGTTACTTTTCCCACTAATTTTCAGGTTGCCAACTTGCTATCAGGAAAACATTCTTAGTCAAGCAAATGATTTAAGATTTATTTGTCCTCACCCACTTTCGCACACAAGTGAATAAGGTAATGTGGGCTGGAAACAAGATTAGAAACAAACTCTGATTAAACCATTCATTCACCAAATGTACATTAAACACTTGCTATGTGACAGGTTTTGTAGTATGAGAAAAGAAACAGTAAACAGGAGCCTGGGTGCAGCTGTTCACGCCTATAATCCCAGCACTTTGGGAGGCTGAGGTGGGCAGATTACCTGAGGTCAGGAGTTCAAGACCAGCCTGACCAACATGGTGAAACCCTATCGCTACTAAAAATACAAAAAATAGCCAGGTGTGGTGGCACAGGTATGTAATCTCAGCTACTTGGAAGGCTGAGGCAGGATAATTGCTTGAACCCAGGAGATGGAGGTTGCAGTGAGCCAAAATCGTGCCACTGCACTCCAGCCTGGGCAACAGAGCAAGACTCCCTCTCAACAACAACAAGAAAAAGAAACAGTAAACAGGAAAAGAAAAAGGGTTTCCATTCAGCCAAACCCTGTGGTGGAGGCCTGGACAGCATGCATAGGCACAGACTGGCAAGGCACCAGTCCTGATATGAGCAAGGAGATAATCTAGGAAGGCCTTCAGGAGGAGGTAATGTTGGAATTAAATGTGGAAGGACAGGTGAGGGTAGACAGACATGGAGGTAAAAGGAACAGGAGAAAGAAAGGCTTGAAAGTTTGAGGAGGGAGTGTGCATGTCAAGGACCTCACAGTTAACATGGTGGCAGGGGTCGGGGGACGTCAGCGGGGAGTAAGGGAGTGAGAAGGGTGGAGGCAGAGTGTGGGGGGCTCATGCGGGGCTGGGTTGGCTTTGCCAGGAGATCCGACTAAATCCTAATAGCTGTGAGAGAAACTGTAGGAATCATTCCAAGCTAATTGGATTTATTTGGGTTTACTAGAGGAGAGAGGAGGCTATTTGTGTGTGTTTGTTTAATCTTGTTTGGACAAGCCTTAAGCTTAGTAAAGGACTATACAAGGTCCTTCATGTTGAAAGAGCCAATATATATGTCCTCCATTAATGCAACATTCTCATTATTCATGGAGTGCATTCAGATAAATATATTCTCCACAAATATTTCCTTCCTCTGTAACATCTAGGCAGAGGTGGGCAAGAGCAGATAAAAGAGATGGCAAACTTGGCTGGCTTTCTTTATATCCCTCAAGGCCTCACCACTGATATGTCTTTGAGTATTTCACACTGGCTTCCTCCAACTCTTTTCATCAAGGTCTTACAACCATTGTGTCAACATGTGACCTTATAAACTGTACACAAGGACGCTTTTTGGGACAATGTGATCATGGTAGAGAAACCTTTCCCCTTGCCTCCCTTTCCCTCCCCAGTTGCGCTTCTGCCTGAAGTCATCTGTGTTTCAGAGATTAAAACTGTGTTCTTTAGGTTTTAGCCACCAGTTTTTATTTGCATGACCCATACCGAAGAAACTGAGAAATTCCTTTTGACTACTTGGAACTTTGAAAACAATCAACAGTCAGATTCTCAGTCAGATTCAGATTTCTTTCAAAACCTGCTTTAGGTCCCCTCCCTGTGCGATGAAGACACTGAGGCCCAGAGAGGTTAAGTGACTCAGCCAAGGTCAAAGAGTTATCTAGGAGCCATGTCCACTTTGTTCCCCTCACTCTTCCCCCGTGTGACTGAGACACTGTGGTGTAATGTGGATCGACCCTGTGTGGAAGGGACAGAGCTGAAGCATCAGGAACAGCAGCATCAGGCCTTGCTCCAAAGCATTGCAGAGAAAGACAACAACCTGGTTCCTATTGGCAAGCCAGCATCAGAGCATCATGATGATGAGGAAGAAGAGGATGATGAAGATGATGAGGACAGTGAAGAGGACTCAGAGGATGATGAGGACATGCAGGACATGGATGAGAGGAATGACTACACTGAGTCACCTGATGACAGAGAGGTCAATGAGTTGGACATGGAAGGCAATGAACAGGATCGGGACCAGTGGATGATCTGGGGAGACAAGGCAGGGTGGCCTCAGGGAGATTCCAGGCCAGCCCAACCTACCCTGCATCCCAACCCCCACAGAACCAGCGGACGGCCCCAGTGCCTGAAAGTGCCCTTGGGCACCTCCTCAGCTGCTGCCAGGATCTGGTCTCCTTGGCCCCTCCCAGGCCATCAGTCTGCACTTGAAATCCCCAGAGCCTGAGCGTCACTTCACCTTCCTGGCCAGTACCTCACCCCTTGGTTGCCAGGTCTGGTTTCTTTCTCTAAGTTTCTTTAATAAAGACAAAGGATTGATTTTAAAACAAACAAACAAAAACAAACAAAAAACCTGCTTTAGATAACTGAAGGATAAGACATGCTTATTTAAAACTTTTAAATTATTATCCTCTCCATAGAGACAGCACAAGGGCAAGTGAGAGCAGACGTGCACTGGGCCACTCTTGCCTCACTTAGGAAAAATAACTCAATACGGGCAAAGGAGATCCTAAGAAGCCAAGAGGCAAAATGTCATCATATGCATTTTTTGTGCAAACTTGTCTAGAGGGGCATAAGAAGAAGCACCCAGATGCTTCAGTCAATTTCTCAGAGTTTTCCAAGAAGTCCTCAGAGAGGTGGAATACCATGTCTGCTAAAGAGAAAGGAAAATTTGAAGATACGGCAAAGGCGGACAAGGCCCGTGATGAAAGAGAAATGAAAACCGTTCTCTCTCCTACAGGGGTGACAAAAAAGAAGTTCAAGGATCCCGAGGCACCCAAGAGGCCTCCTTTGGCCTTGTTTCTGTCCTAGTCTGAGTATTGCCCAAAAGTTACAGGAGAACATCCTGGCCTGTCCATTGGTGATGCTTGGAAGAACCTGAGAGAGACGTGGAATGTCACTGTGGCAGATGACAAGCAGCCTTAGGAAAAGCAGCTGCGAAACTGAAGGAAGAATACAGAGGATCTTGCTGCATGTCGAGCTAAAGGAAAGCCTGATGCAGCAAAAAAGGGAGTGGTCAAGGCTGAAAAAAAGAAAAAGAAGAGGAAGCTGAGGAAAATGAAGAAGATGAGGAGGAGGAAGATGAAGAAGATGGTGATAATGAATAACCTGGTTCTCCAAGTTTTTTTTCTTGTCTATAAAGCATTTAACCCCCCTGTATAAAACTCACTCCTTTTAAAGAAAAAACTTAAAATGTAAGGCTGTGTAAAATTTGTTTTTAAACTGTACAGTGTCTTTTTTTATGTAATTAACATACTACCGAAATGTGTCTTTAGGTAGCTCTGTCCTCGTGGTATTCTTCTGTCATTTTTCTTGAGACGGAGTCTCGCTCTGTCACCCAGGTTGGAGTGCAGTGGCACAATCTTGACTCACTGCAACCCTCTGCTTGCCGGGTTCAAGAGATTCTACTGCCTCATCTCCTGAGTAGCTGGGACCACAGGCCCGAGCCAGCACACCCTGGTGGTATATTCTATAACCACTAACCTTGCCTGGTACAGTATGGGGGTTGTAAATCAGCATGGAAATTTAAAGCAGGTTCATCTTGGTGCACAGCACAAATTAGTTACATATGACGATGGTAGTTTTTTCATCTTCAGTTGTCTCTGATGCAGCTTATACAAAATAATTGTTGTTCCATTAACTGAATACCACTCTAATTGCAAAAAAAAAAAAAAAAAGTTGCAGCTGTTTTGTTGACATTCTGAATGCTTCTAAGTGAATACTATTTTT